TCCCGGGTATTGTCAGACGTGTTTGTATATTTTTTTCATGTTTTAAAAGTGATTTTGAAATATCGAATCAGTTGTTTATACCCTTTGAACTTCAAATTATTGCCGAAATTAATACAGTTTATATTCAATTTTTGTTTAATTGTGATGACGGTAGATCAAACGAAAAGAGAGCTCTAAAGAAGTGCACTACTTCTCCAGAGCTCTCTTTCGTTAGCTCTAGAGTACTCATGATGAAAGTGGTCATACGAATAACTGCCGTCATGTCTTTTCCAAAGTGCACATTTAGATGCAACAACATACTGTAGTTAGTTAGGCAAATAGAAATAATCTAGCACGCTAAATAATGTTGATTACGTGAAATTTGGCCATGCTTCGAAGGATACAAGAATATATAAGTGTAAGAGTCCGGATCTGATAAACATTTATCAACTTTCCTTTTTATAAACTTATATGTTTGCTTTCAAATAAAGCGAAATAACGAATAATAATAGGGGAGATCGGGGCAACTTCGGCATGCGGGGCAAGTTTGTCAAGCGCTTTTTTTTAAAAACAAATTAAAAGGAGACTTTGGTTATAGGTTAGGCAGTTGAGTTTTATTGGTGGCTTGTTGAGTGTAGTGTTTTTATTGTTCTCCAACAAGCGTAGTTGAATTATCAAGCAAATTTTCATTTTCGTTCAATTCCATATAATATTTTTTTTCCATTTATATTGAATTGGCAGGTTTTGTTATAATTCCATGATAACGAAAGTTACTTTTCCTGTTAGAAGGATGTAACTTCAACTTATTCACGTGGCCAGATCGTGGCTTGGCATTCTGTTCTCAGGGTTGTACTTAATGTTTCGAAATCATGACTAGCGGGGTAAGATCGGCAACATAAAGCCACATTAGAAGCAAAGGATAAAAATCAAACAGATGATAAATGAAAACATGTTTGCATTTGTTATTCATGTATATATGTCTTTGAACTTGCATTTCGTTGTAATAATATTAAATGGGTGTTGGATTTGTATTTCTTTGTTTTAATAGTGAATTCCAACTTATACATTGTTAATAACATAATTTTATATACGTGCCTATCTTGCCCCATTACTGTTGCCCCTATACCAGGGGCAACTTTAATAAAAATAATTAAAATAATTACAACTTTACAAAAAGAGAGAAGTTGCCGATCTTGCCCCTATACCCGGGGCAACTTCGTCAATTTCTCTCTTCTTGTAAAGTTGTAATTATTTTAATTATTTTTATTTCCAAACTGATTTTAACCAGTTCTATAGTAAGGTAACATTCCAATAGACAATATGCAAAGCTTTTTTTCAGTTTACAGCAGTATTTATTACACAAAATTTAAGTAAAGCTTAACATGCCGATCTTGCCCCGATCTCCCCTATAGAAAATGAACTTCTTTTCACTTGATAAAAAACTGAAGGGATACGATCACATCTTCGCCGGATTCACTTCCGATCGGAGGTGACACAGCTTTCTAGTTTGTCACTCGGAATCTATAGAAAAAAAAAAAAAAAAAAGTAAACTATTGGACGGTGACAGAAAAAATTCCTAATAAGACCACGGGAAAAATCCAATGTAAAACCCCTAATAAAAAGGAGGAGTCGATGAGTCGGACAAAATCTTCGAGTTATCTTTGTACTGTGCGTGTGTTGCCGCCGCTTGCTATTCGTCGCCGCCCTAACTTTTTTGATCGTCGCCACTCAAAGAAATTCGTCGCAACTTTGAAAAACTCGTTGCTACTTCAAGATTCCCTGGTGTGGAAACTTCTACCATCATTTTGTGAATTCTACATGTATTTATTTTCGCGCGAACTTAATGTGAACTCTTTTTCTCTCGTTGTCAGGGACGTAGTGGTTATGCCTTATGTCATCTTATTATTAGCATTAGCTAAGCCTCTATAATTATCAATTGTAAATAGTTAATATCGATTAATAAACGGGTGATTTTATTATATGATAACGTGTAAAATGTATTTATTGTGGTTCTCTCCTTCCGCCTCCATTCCGTATCCGACAGTCCGCACACTCGGCCGTTCGAAATAACGAGATAAACGGCCAATCCGGTTTCCGTGTCTGTCCGCAAGACACAGTTGTGTCATCTTGACCATACACTATAGAGGAGCTGACCCTGCGGTCACATAAGTACTATAAAATAATTAAAACGAAAACCACCACTTATCAAAAACAGCTGAAAGTTTTAATAAGTGCAGCCATCACGTGCACGATTTTCGAGCTTTTTTCTTCCCCTCTTCTTGTTGTATACAATAATGTACTGTAATTTTCGTAGACTTTCTTAACTTTAATTACGTGTACAATAGTAATGGAACTCCCGGATATTCAAGAAATGAGATGTCATCGGAAAACGTACCACACGAAATCCTACCGAGACAGAATTCTTCTATCCTACCACTGAAGCAAGTTTAGACAAGAATTAAGTTATACCTAAGGCCAGGAATATCACGCCGTCTAGAACTTTTAAAACTGACATTTCTCTAGAATCTCGCACAATTTAAAATTTCCATCGCCCGGATTATTCGACAAAATAACGTATTGTACAGATTTGAATCATAATTAAAGTGGTAATTTTGAATTTTAAAAACTGCAAAAACATTATCACTTTCTTGCGATTTTAAAATCAATTCACGAAAAATCAAATAAAAGCATTTATTAGACAACAAGATGTTTACAAACACAAAGATTCTTCTCACATTCACATTACATGACAAAATTCCACTAGATCTACGTTCTTAAATTCTTAAATCATGGGCAGTCGAGAAAATATCTTCTTGAAAGGTTTTTGAATTAATTGAAATTGTTCTTTGTTTCAACAGTTGTATGTTTATTTTTAAAGAAATTCTTTTGTAAATCAATTTCATCGTAGTTCCGCATGTTTTATAACATAAATTCCATTATCTCTAATCTAAAATGACAAACAATACTTAGCAACGTTTATTCAAATTTATATCTTTATGATAAAAAATAGTACGTACATTTTTGGAATATATTTCATTCAAAAAACTTTGTCTTGACAATTTCGGTANATTCACGAAAAATCAAATAAAAGCATTTATTAGACAACAAGATGTTTACAAACAGAAAGATTCTTCTCACATTCACATTACATGAAAAAATTCCACTAGATCTACGTTCTTAAATTCTTAAATCAGAGGCAGACGAGAAAATATCTTCTTGAAAGGTTTTTGAATTAATTGAAATTGTTCTTTTTTTTCAACAGTTGTATGTTTATTTTTAAAGAAATATTTTGTAAATCAATTTCTTCGTAGTTCCACATGTTTTAAAACATAAATTCCATTATCTCTAATCTAAAATGACAAACAATACTTAGCAACGTTTATTCAAATTTATATCTTTATGATAAAAAATAGTACGTACATTTTTGGAATATATTTCATTCAAAAAACTTTGTCTTGACAATTTCGGTAGACGCAGTATATTCCTTCCATCCGTTTTTTCTCTACAGTATAAACGTTTCTTGAGTTTATTAAGCATTTAATGGATTTAGATAAAGTTTCAGAATTGAAGATACAGGAGATTAAGTTGTCGATGTTTTCATTTTGACGTAATTCGAAGCAAATTTCCGTTCGCAAGTGACATAGATCGGAAGAAGACGGTGATTAGGAATGGACAAGAAATGAGTGACATAATAAGTAAAGGACACAACCAAAATTCGTCAAAATCGAGAATACAAACAATTCGGGATCAAATTTAGTCAATAGACACAATTCGGTAGACAAGTTCGAGAATATTTAAAATTACGTAATCAAAATCGATAAAAGGTCAAAATTTGAAAAGTCAAAATCGGTAAAAGTCAAATTCTGGGCAGTCAAAATCGATAAAAGTCAAATTTTGAAGAGTCAATGTCGGTAAAGGTCAATTTCGGTGAGAAGAATTAAACNGTATATAACATCGCAATAGCATTAATCTGCTTCTACGTTTTGTCTTGTTCATGTCGTCATTTAATTATGTGTTGTTTGTACAACTGGACCATCGACTGTGTAAATTTTAGTATTTATAAAGTGAGAGTGTAAAATTTCTATTCAGTTTATCAGTAAGATTTTCAATTTAGTTTACCGTTGAAAAATCTTTAGTTTTTCAGTTTTAACTTATATCTTTATTGAATTGGATATAACACTTGTTTGGATGAAGAGTAAACCGTCAAATCTCGATATACCGCATTCCAAACAGCGCCAAAGAATACGGGAAAATTATGTGATTCTCGTCAAATCACATAACTTCTGAACTCAAATTTATGTGTAGATTTCAATACTATATGTTGATATTTGAGGAATTTTAGTTTACTGCCACACTCGAATTAGTGCTAATTTGAGAGGCGAAAAAGTGACGCAGCTAAATCGAACTTTGATTAAATGTACATAGAAATACGTACCTCTTAACCGGCTTCCACATTGATTTCAAGAAAGATCCGAACTTCATTTTCAGTTTATTCTGCCGAAAACCCTAAGTCTGAAAATACGAAACCAAATCAGTTGTTTTATTTCGTAAAGTGACATTCAAATGCGATATTGGAAAATAAAACATACAATTTTGGGCCAAGGCACTTTATGAAAATACTCGTGTTCCCTTATATTTACTTCTAGAGGACGTCTGTACGGATCCTGAAATAATCGAAAACAAAAGTAATTAATTCAAATTTACTATTCGAATGATTATATTTTCATCTGTGCGTTATTTCAAATAAGACAAATGTTATTAAACTAATTATCAGCACATCATTAAAAATTTACTTAATGATATGAAACGAGTTTTCAACATTTTATTGAATATAATCAGTGAATTAATTATAAACAGATTTATGAAAGTCCACAGAAAGACCGTATGATTACAATTAACGATATTAATTGAATGAATGCTTTTATATAAGAGAAAACACAAAATTTGCCGTATATAATCATTGTTTTTGGCAACAGAGAAAAGTCGAATGTAGATACATAAGAGAATTACATGCTTCGGTTTGTAAATAAATGTCATTTCGTGCATAAAACGGGGAGAGACAAATCTGAATTTGTTAAGTACAATTAAGTATAATCTTACCTTTTGCAATAAATCATAAATAAAATGTCTGGCATCATCCGTTAATGCATGAGGATACGACACCTTCACATTTAAAGCAGCTGCAAACGCATTTTAATATTAATTATCTTATATTGCTATTATTATTATTCAATTAATAATTTTGATACATTACTTCTTATTCGGTCGTAACGGGGCAATAAATACACATTATCAATGTGGAAAGCTTCTTTCACATAAATCTCTAGAGGAGTTCTTCCAACCAACGCTTGAAATAAAACGATGGCGAACGCCCACCAGTCACAATAGGAATCTGAAAACAATGCATTCATTAATACATCCAACAATATGATACAAATGTAAGAGTATAATGATGTGAAAGTACAAGTCTTTACCGTAAGGCTTCCTCTGGAGAATTTCCGGACACATAAATGCTAAAGTTCCACAATAATCTCTTGGATTTCGTTCGTACTGAAAGAAATAATAAAATAGTTAAAAGATCGACAAAAATCTACAGTTCAAGAATATTACAATGTATAATGCTTACTGTGGATAGACCGAAATCAATTACTTGTGCACCTTTGTACACATCTAACATAACGTTGTTTGAACTAATGTCTCGGTGTATTATTCCTATTCAAAATAAAAACATTACTTTGCTACTCTTTACACATTTCTAAACTAAACAAGCAAATAAATCTACAGCGAATAATTACCATTCCTATGAATATACATAATAGCAGAGGCCACTTGAGCGGCAAACACTTTAGCTTTTCTCTCCGCTATAGGGCCATTCTTTTGTATAAATTCGGCCAAAGTTTCTCCCTCAACAAAATCCGAGACAAAGCAAAAGCTAAAAAATAAAACTTATTACTTCACAGAGCACAAATTATTATAAATAACTCAGGTGAAAAGAGAAAAAAACTTACGCTGTGTCAGTTTGCAGGAATCGAATCAATCTGACAATGTTTGGATGGGCGGACACGCAATTCCAAACGATTGTTTCTCTCCGGATTTCACCAAACTATAAATAAATTAATGATGATTACACACGAAATATAAATTTTAAATATTGTTTAAATATTACTAATGTAAATTCATAAAACACTGATTACTCTTATTCTCAATATACTATTAAAAATTATTATTGTTTTAATATATATATATATTTAGTGATTAGTGTGTATATTCCGGAAATTGTTCTTAATCCCCTTAATATTGATAATTTTTGTTAAAAAATACCTGATTAGAAGAAGAGACTTTCTTCTTTACGACTTTTAAAGCCTTTTTCTTTCTAGAATATTTGGTCTTAGCCAAATAAATAGTCCCAAAACTTCCACGTCCAATTTCTTTAGTAATTTTGTACTTGCCAATATAATATTTGGCTTTATCGAAACGGTCGTGTTCTTGCTTTGAATCTGCGAGTTTCTTTTCCGGTTCGTAAGTCTACAAAATTATAAAAATGATTATTTATTTATAAAATTTGCTAATGGAAGGAAGACAGAAGGAACGAAAACTTACTTCGGAACCAGAAATCTCGCCTGAAATGCAACAACACAACAAAAATTTATGGAATAAATTAGTTAAAAATCCCATAAACTTTCCTTTCTTCTGCTTATTTGCTTGCAACTGCGACTCGTCTAGATTCGAGAAGTCACATTTTGTTGCAGGCGAATCTTTGCCATTCTACGAAACATCAAGGTAAAAATTATCGATGTTTGCAAACGTTATCGTTTTAAAATTAATCAAAAAATCTTCGTTATCTTAATCTACTCAAAGAAAAATTTCGATTTTCTTACAGAGAAATCAATGGTTTACCTGAAATGAGCAATCTTTATTTTCCTGAACACTCGGTTCAGAATCTTCTCTCCTACTACAGAGAAACTATATTAATTCTTACATAATATTATAGAATAATTAAACACAATTTCTGATTAAATTTACCTTTTCTTCTTCATATTATTTCTCGAAATTCGCGAAACAACTTTTTCGGCGCAGCGAAACATTCCACTCAACAATAGCAACTCAACAATTGAACTCGAAAGTATTGTTGAAAAATTCATTCTAATGACGTCATATTAATAAATTTTATATTTTTCTTATATGCTTTAAGAAGATCTTTTTATGAAGTTCATTGTGGGTGCGGCTAGACCCGCAATGGGACAAAGTAATGGAAGACTGCATTCTTCATATGCAGGACAGACCGTTTTCCAGAAATATTGGGGTTTTACTTCGAATTGGAATCGTCACCTTTAATCGTTCGATAAATGTCTCGTCATCTCATTTTACTGTTAAATACTGCCAATATGAAGTGTTTATAATTACAATCGACTTTGTATTTATAAAAATTTGCTCGTAGTTTTAATATAAACTTATATAGTTTATTCTTAATTATTTATTCGATCGTGTTAAAATCTATAAATTGAACACACTTTAATACTGAGAAAGCACATTTATTGAGCTAAACAAAAGTTTTCAACTTATTCCATGGGACATCATCATGTTAAAGTCATTCGAATTAATGGCTTTTTGTATAACGCGTTCAAATTTAAATTATATTAAAACGTAATTAAGAAAAATAAAATACAAAATACGGTAATTTCTCACAATACATGTAAAAAATTATTTATAGTAACTCAGGTATTTATTGAACCTGGTAAATGTATCATCTTACGAGTTCTTTCTGTTTATATATATTCATGCCGACGGGAAAATGGTCGCATGCTTCTGGTTTAAACATTTTTCTGTTAAGCTAGATCTGTAGATCTCACACTTCTGTGTTGTGGATGCAAGCGTTGGCGAGTGCTTATTTGCAATGATTGTGGCCTCTTCCCATTTAACTATGGATCCATCTGTCTGTGCAATTTTCGATAACACTGTTGTATATCGGCTCTTTGCTACATCGTACTTATGCTCTTTCATCCTTACGTTAAGATTTCTATTTGTGACTCGTATATATTCTTTATCTATTTTTAATTGGTCATTCTTGTACGGTATTGGATACACTCCTGGTTGTTCTTTTTCATTAATTTCTTCTTTGTTATTTCTTAGCAACGTATATAAAGTGGGAGCTCTATTGTATACAATATTGGTGTTTTGTAGTTGTCGATTTCTTTCGTAACCGGAGATAGAAGCTTATTATATGTGAATTTTGTAATGTTACTGCTTCCATCTGGTTTTTTCTTCTTGCTATTTCTAGGATCGTTGTATGCGGTAATTAGGCGTTTCACAAGATCCTGTTCCCAATCCCAACACTTTCGCCACTTCTTTAATTCTATTTAGCTCTTCTATCGTGTCCATCATGTTAGAGCAATACAAAAACGCTGTTCTGATTAGAGCCCTAAAGGCAGAGTGTTTGTATGCAATTGGATCATTAGATGTTGATGGTATATATATCGGATCATGAGTAGGCTTGATATACCCATTTGTGCACAGTGATCCGTTCCGAAAGTTGATGTTAATGTCCAAGAAATATAACTCGTTGCTACTAATCTGATTCAGGTTCAGTTTTAAACCATGCTGGTTGGAATTCATTTGGATCAAGAATTGTTCTATCTTTGTGTCGTTCTTCCATATAATAAGCACATCATCAACGTATCTTTTGTATAAGATTATGTCTTCGTTGAAATTGATAATTGTACTGTGCTCCATTTTTCTTACAACCAACTCACAGAGCAGGCCAGACATTGGGCTGCCCATCGGGACTCCCTTTAACTGTTTAAAAGTTTTACCTTCGAAACTGAAAATGATTGAAAGCATACAAGATCTGTCATCATCTCGAGGTCCTTGCGATACTTGGATGCATTCGGGTGCAACTCACATAATAGTTTTAACAGAGTATCAAAACATGAAGCCAGATTTATCGATGGATACATGCTCTCGAAGTCCATAACAAATCCAACTTCGTTATTTATTAACGATAGCTCATGCAGATTATTTATCAAGTTAAACATGTTTTTTTTTGTTACAAATTGGTAGTCTTCAATCAGCTCCGACAAGTACTTATGCATACGTTTTTCCAGCTTATAGGTGGGTCTTTTACATTTCTCTACAACTGGCCTAATTTCGTTGTTGTTTATATGCGTTTTCGCGAACCCAAACAACCTGGGTACACTTGGGCTGGTGATATGAGCTACTTTCAGGAAGGGGAAGATTGATGTTATGGGCGATTTTTCCAGTTTCCTTAATTTTCTATCGATTTTATCTACTATACCACGGTCAATTCTTTCACATTCTGTTTTTCTTATGTAGTCTTCTAGGGCTTCATTATATCTTTGCTTCTTCATTATCACCAAATGTTTACTTTTATCAGCCCTAGTGACTATTAGATTATTGTCCTTCAACCATTTTCTTGCGTGGTTAATGCCAGCGTCCTCGCCATGCTTCTTTGTGTATTTTTCGGTTCTGAACGTTGCTTTTCATCTGAAATACGAGGTCTGTTCAAAAAGTATTTGACCTTTGGTCCTCAAAAATACATTTGTTGATTTTGAGGTACAAAACCCTAATCCCCTTCAAAGTAGTCTCCTTGGTAGTGTATACACTTCTCCCAGCGTTCCTGCCATTGCTGGAAACACTGCTGTAACGTATCTTTTGGAATGGCCATCAGCCGGACCGTCGCATTCCGTACGATGTCTTCTCTCGACTAAAATCGGGTTCCTTTTAGCGGCATTTTCAGCTTGGGAAATAGCCAAAAGTCACACGGAGCCATATGGGGATAGTACGGAGCGTGACGAACCACAGGAGTGTTGTGTTTGGCGACGAAAGCCGGAATCAGATGCGCAGAATGGGCGGATGCGTTATCACGATGAGCTGCCAAGTTTTGTTCGACCACAGATCCGGTCGTTTGCGTCGAACAGTATCGGAAAGACGACGAAGGACCTCCTGGTAGTACTCCTTTGCGATGGTTTGGTCTCGTGGTGCGTACTCACGATACACCACCCTACGAGAGTCGAAAAACTGTCAACATGACCTTGATATTGCTGCGGATTTGCCGCGTTTTTTTGGCCTCGAGGATCGTCCCCCAAAGCCTGTTTAATCTTGCGAATGGTTTACGCTCGAATATCGCCAAGGGTTTTGGCAAAATTTGATGTAATATCGCTGCTCACGTTGTTCAGTCATTTTCCAACTTAGTGGAATTCAACTAAGAGCTCGCTACATGTCCTCACTCATAGGCCGACTGCCAACGACTAACGCTTCCTGCAGGCGGGAAAAAATTCAGGGCTGTGCATGACTGTCTCCTCCACAACTCCACCGAAGGAGGCCTCCCGCGCATCATTAGTTTACGCGGAAAAAATAAAAGTCTGATACTTTTTGAACAGACCTCGTAGTCTTTGTCAATCTCATTAATACCTATGAGCCCTCTTTCAATTTCAGCTATTGTGCCTCGCCAGTTTCTAGTGTTGTCCAAAGCATAATTAGGTCCTTTTTCAAGAATTCGTTTGATGTCTTGCGGCAGTTGGATCTGGTCCCATATTATATAAGGGGTTGGCTTCCTATTATTCGCTTTTTTGGTCGGCTGCTATGAAGATATCCAATGCAGCTTCTTCTTGTATTTCTTTCTTAAATAAAGCCTTATCCGGTCAGTTAACCCAACGACCCTTAAATTGATATTCACCAAAGCACTCGGGTTTTCCTCATACATTTTCTCTTCCAGTTTCACAAGATATTTAATAGATTTGAACTTTAAATGTTTTATATGTCTAATTGATTTATTCAAGCAAACACATCGTATTCTTCCTCGCTAAAATATACATTCATCAGGAATCTTGATTCTAAATATAGACATTGGATAAATTCCTCTTACCCGACACTCCTTAAAGAATTCTAACTTGGAATCCATCCTTACAATTTTTACTGCTATTTTTCTGTAACTCTTATAAAAACAGCCCGGTGATGCCATTATTACTCTCTTATTCACACTCAGATTCTTTAACATTATAAAGTCAACACACCTTAATACTGAGAAAGAACGTTTTAACCCATGAAATAAGTTGAAAACGTTCGTTTAGCTGAAGGCTAAACAAACGTTTTCAACCCATTTCATGGGCCATCATCAGGTTTTTTCTACTTTGCAATCTTTGTATACACCTTATCCTTTGAATTTCTGAAAATTTCTACTAAAGTTTAATCTTAGTTGCATTTTGACTTCCTGTATTCCTGGAAATGGTCGAATAGCACTTTCTATTTCGGCTACTACTTCGATTGATATCGAAAAGATGAATAAATTCATATTGTATCCATACGATTATAAATTTATTTAGACATTGCTCTTTTTCTGTATTTGACGGATAATCGTGGACCAGAATGAATGCTCCCGCATCTACAGGAAGGGTCTACGTTGAAATCGCTCGGCAATTCTGACCTTTTCTGTCATCACGATTGATTGCTAATAAATGGTGAATGTTCAAGCAGTTTTATGACAGGCCGACGTTAAATTATCTAAACGATGATTCAATTGCAATTGTTTAGTTTACGGAATTTCAAAAGAAGTTATGACATGTTTTGTCTCTTACAAGGAATAAAATTTCCTTCGACTAAGTGATGGCGTCGACGTTAAATTACGAATCGTTTTTCCATTTCGACACCAGCGTATTGGAATCAGAGGTGGGTTGTCCCGATTAACTCTACATGAACTTCTAATGCAAGACAGAAGTCATTTTATTTCAATTTAAAACTCTTTTCCTGAAAGGAGTTAAATAGATGAAAGGCCCGAATCTATTGCTAACAGGAAAAGTATGATGCACAGGGGCGAGACAGTACATTACTAATTTGAGATTAAAAGCATATATTTTAAATTGAATAAATTTAAGATGTGGTGACAAACTGCTTGGTGTTTGTGTAAATTTACATCTTTATTTTCAGTTCTTAAATATTATAAACATTTGAGAACTTAGGAACAATTTTAAAAAGTTGTTAAAAAATTGAATTGTGATTTTTGTTCTTTCCTTGTTTATTGTTTCTGTTTTATAAATGTATTTATCACACTTGGAAAAGGCCAATAGTACAGTACACCAGAAAAATTCTCAAAAAATAAAATTACAAAGACTTTATAATTTCATTTATTGACAACTTTTCTGCTATTAAGTTTTAGAGAATTATACTTAACAAAGTACTCGCAGAGACACACTTCAGTTTTATAATCTCTGTTTTATAGCATTTTATTTCGTGCTTTTGTATCGATAGAAATTCGCAAGTTTTTAAAATGACTTTTTACATTTTTTTTTTCGTTATGAATCGCGACATTTTCTTCTGCTTTAACTTTCGGTTTAATTGTTACAAAGATAAGATTATTTTAACTTTAATTATAAATTTGTCCATAAATAAAATGTGCAGATATAATACTGTATTTAAACTGATACACGTAATATCAATATAAATTTAAAAAGTTTTATTAAGTGAAAGATTATATACACGTTTAATTGTTCAACATAATTATAATTGTGGCTTAGACATATGCTAACTGCGATATTTCCCTTTTGTTTTTATTCGGGTGTCCAGTGTTGACACGCACGTTGCTGTCGAAAATCAATTATTTTCCTGTCAGAATTTCATCATTAGTTGAGAGATTTCAAACGACCGAAGGCGGTGCTAAGATGTCACCGTCGACTTTAATTAACTGAAGTGGAAGAACACGTCCCTCGTAAGCGATGACGAAAGACATGTATGATTCCAAAAATTGCCAGCAGGCAAGGGAAGACGCCAAAAAGACACATCCGGTCATTAGGTCAAAGTCAGGTAAAAGTCCACATCCGGAGAAAAATGTCACAATCGGGAATAAAAGTCACATCCGGTAAGAAGACCTCAGAGATTTATTTCTTCCAGAAGAAAAAGATCTTCTTCCACCAAGGCTTCTTTTTCCTCTTTTTCAGGATCGATTTACACTCCCCTTCGACTCCTTCCTCGCGTGCCTCTCTCTGCACCGACCATTCCGGAACTTCTGGATATCTCTGTTCCAGGTAGTCGATGACAGACGAGGTGCTCTCATCGGGAATGGTGACAATCACCCGTTTCTTGTCGGGTTCCTTCGCACCCTCCAGCACTTCTTTCGGACGCACGCGAATCAGTCGAATCGAAGGTGAAGACGATCCTGATGTCGAGGAGCTTTCCTCCGCACTCTCTCCTCCAGAGGTATTCCAATTCTTTAGCGCTTTAAAATTATCCATCCTGCAAACAATAAAAACCGAGTATTAAATATTGTAGAACGAACGTTATATTAAGAGAATATTAAAAAATCATAATGTAAATACGACAGAAAGTTTTAGAAAATGATCGTTTTAAGTATAAAAAAATTCTAAACAAAATGAATATAAAGTTGTAATGGAATATTCGTTTTGAGAAAATTATCGCTGTTAATTGTGATTTAGTACCTAACAATGTTTAAAAATACCTAAATCTAGAAAGATCAAAAACTAAACTTACTTAAAATAATCGTAAAACTGCAGCAAAACTCTCAGAAAACGCTCGAAACAATAGCATTCGAACAAAGCAACAGACAATTGTCGAAATTCTATTGTTGCGTGGCGTCTCAGTTTAATGCTAAAAATATCGATATTTTGACAGAATTTCGATTTCGACGTTTTTGATTCTCTCTGTCTATAGAAACAGACCATTCTGCTTTTTTTCTGTAGTTTTTCACTCAAGCCCACAGAGACGAGGTGTAATCCATTTTGTTANCGATATTCTTACAGAGAAATCAATGGTTTACCTGAAATGAGCAATCTTTATTTTCCTGAACACTCGGTTCAGAATCTTCTCTCCTACTACAGAGAAACTATATTAATTCTTACATAATATTATAGAATAATTAAACACAATTTCTGATTAAATTTACCTTTTCTTCTTCATATTATTTCTCGAAATTCGCGAAACAACTTTTTCGGCGCAGCGAAACATTCCACTCAACAATAGCAACTCAACAATTGAACTCGAAAGTATTGTTGAAAAATTCATTCTAATGACGTCATATTAATAAATTTTATATTTTTCTTATATGCTTTAAGAAGATCTTTTTATGAAGTTCATTGTGGGTGCGGCTAGACCCGCAATGGGACAAAGTAATGGGAGACTGCATTCTTCATATGCGGACAAACCGTTTTCCAGAAATATTGGGTTTATACTTCGAATTGGAATCGTCACCCTTAATCGTTCGATAAATGTCTCGTCATCTCATTTTACTGTTAAATACTGCCAATATGAAGTGTTTATAATTACAATCGACTTTGTATTTATAAAAATCTGCTCGTAGTTTTAATATAAACTTATATAGTTTATTCTTAATTAATTATTCGAGTGTGTTAAAATCTATAAATTGAACACACTTTAATACTGAGAAAGCACATTTATTGAGCTTAACAAACGTTTTCAACTTATTCCATGGGACATCATCATGTTAAAGTCATTCGAATTAATGGCTTTTTGTATAACGCGTTCAAATTTAAATTATATTAAAACGTAATTAAGAAAAATAAAATACAAAATACGGTAATTTCTCACAATACAACATGTAAAAAATTATTTATAGTAACTCAGGTATTTATTGAACCTGGTAAATGTATCATCTTACGAGTTCTTTCTGTTTATATATATTCATGCCGACGGGAAAATGGTCGCATGCTTCTGGTTTAAACATTTTTCTGTTAAGCTAGATCTGTAGATCTCACACTTCTGTGTTGTGGATGCAAGCGTTGGCGAGTGCTTATTTGCAATGATTGTGGCCTCTTCCCATTTAACTATGGATCCATCTGTCTGTGCAATTTTCGATAACACTGTTGTATATCGGCTCTTTGCTACATCGTACTTATGCTCTTTCATCCTTACGTTAAGATTTCTATTTGTGACTCGTATATATTCTTTATCTATTTTTAATTGGTCATTCTTGTACGGTATTGGATACACTCCTGGTTGTTCTTTTTCATTAATTTCTTCTTTGTTATTTCTTAGCAACGTATATAAAGTGGGAGCTCTATTGTATACAATATTGGTGTTTTGTAGTTGTCGATTTCTTTCGTAACCGGAGATAGAAGCTTATTATATGTGAATTTTGTAATGTTACTGCTTCCATCTGGTTTTTTCTTCTTGCTATTTCTAGGATCGTTGTATGCGGTAATTAGGCGTTTCACAAGATCCTGTTCCCAATCCCAACACTTTCGCCACTTCTTTAATTCTATTTAGCTCTTCTATCGTGTCCATCATGTTAGAGCAATACAAAAACGCTGTTCTGATTAGAGCCCTAAAGGCAGAGTGTTTGTATGCAATTGGATCATTAGATGTTGATGGTATATATATCGGATCATGAGTAGGCTTGATATACCCATTTGTGCACAGTGATCCGTTCCGAAAGTTGATGTTAATGTCCAAGAAATATAACTCGTTGCTACTAATCTGATTCAGGTTCAGTTTTAAACCATGCTGGTTGGAATTCATTTGGATCAAGAATTGTTCTATCTTTGTGTCGTTCTTCCATATAATAAGCACATCATCAACGTATCTTTTGTATAAGATTATGTCTTCGTTGAAATTGATAATTGTACTGTGCTCCATTTTTCTTACAACCAACTCACAGAGCAGGCCAGACATTGGGCTGCCCATCGGGACTCCCTTTAACTGTTTAAAAGTTTTACCTTCGAAACTGAAAATGATTGAAAGCATACAAGATCTGTCATCATCTCGAGGTCCTTGCGATACTTGGATGCATTCGGGTGCAACTCACATAATAGTTTTAACAGAGTATCAAAACATGAAGCCAGATTTATCGATGGATACATGCTCTCGAAGTCCATAACAAATCCAACTTCGTTATTTATTAACGATAGCTCATGCAGATTATTTATCAAGTTAAACATGTTTTTTTTTGTTACAAATTGGTAGTCTTCAATCAGCTCCGACAAGTACTTATGCATACGTTTTTCCAGCTTATAGGTGGGTCTTTTACATTTCTCTACAACTGGCCTAATTTCGTTGTTGTTTATATGCGTTTTCGCGAACCCAAACAACCTGGGTACACTTGGGCTGGTGATATGAGCTACTTTCAGGAAGGGGAAGATTGATGTTATGGGCGATTTTTCCAGTTTCCTTAATTTTCTATCGATTTTATCTACTATACCACGGTCAATTCTTTCACATTCTGTTTTTCTTATGTAGTCTTCTAGGGCTTCATTATATCTTTGCTTCTTCATTATCACCAAATGTTTACTTTTATCAGCCCTAGTGACTATTAGATTATTGTCCTTCAACCATTTTCTTGCGTGGTTAATGCCAGCGTCCTCGCCATGCTTCTTTGTGTATTTTTCGGTTCTGAACGTTGCTTTTCATCTGAAATACGAGGTCTGTTCAAAAAGTATTTGACCTTTGGTCCTCAAAAATACATTTGTTGATTTTGAGGTACAAAACCCTAATCCCCTTCAAAGTAGTCTCCTTGGTAGTGTATACACTTCTCCCAGCGTTCCTGCCATTGCTGGAAACACTGCTGTAACGTATCTTTTGGAATGGCCATCAGCCGGACCGTCGCATTCCGTACGATGTCTTCTCTCGACTAAAATCGGGTTCCTTTTAGCGGCATTTTCAGCTTGGGAAATAGCCAAAAGTCACACGGAGCCATATGGGGATAGTACGGAGCGTGACGAACCACAGGAGTGTTGTGTTTGGCGACGAAAGCCGGAATCAGATGCGCAGAATGGGCGGATGCGTTATCACGATGAGCTGCCAAGTTTTGTTCGACCACAGATCCGGTCGTTTGCGTCGAACAGCATCGGAAAGACGACGAAGGACCTCCTGGTAGTACTCCTTTGCGATGGTTTGGTCTCGTGGTGCGTACTCACGATACACCACCCTACGAGAGTCGAAAAACTGTCAACATGACCTTGATATTGCTGCGGATTTGCCGCGTTTTTTTGGCCTCGAGGATCGTCCCCCAAAGCCTGTTTAATCTTGCGAATGGTTTACGCTCGAATATCGCCAAGGGTTTTGGCAAAATTTGATGTAATATCGCTGCTCACGTTGTTCAGTCATTTTCCAACTTAGTGGAATTCAACTAAGAGCTCGCTACATGTCCTCACTCATAGGCCGACTGCCAACGACTAACGCTTCCTGCAGGCGGGAAAAAATTCAGGGCTGTGCATGACTGTCTCCTCCACAACTCCACCGAAGGAGGCCTCCCGCGCATCATTAGTTTACGCGGAAAAAATAAAAGTCTGATACTTTTTGAACAGACCTCGTAGTCTTTGTCAATCTCATTAATACCTATGAGCCCTCTTTCAATTTCAGCTATTGTGCCTCGCCAGTTTCTAGTGTTGTCCAAAGCATAATTAGGTCCTTTTTCAAGAATTCGTTTGATGTCTTGCGGCAGTTGGATCTGGTCCCATATTATATAAGGGGTTGGCTTCCTATTATTCGCTTTTTTGGTCGGCTGCTATGAAGATATCCAATGCAGCTTCTTCTTGTATTTCTTTCTTAAATAAAGCCTTATCCGGTCAGTTAACCCAACGACCCTTAAATTGATATTCACCAAAGCACTCGGGTTTTCCTCATACATTTTCTCTTCCAGTTTCACAAGATATTTAATAGATTTGAACTTTAAATGTTTTATATGTCTAATTGATTTATTCAAGCAAACACATCGTATTCTTCCTCGCTAAAATATACATTCATCAGGAATCTTGATTCTAAATATAGACATTGGATAAATTCCTCTTACCCGACACTCCTTAAAGAATTCTAACTTGGAATCCATCCTTACAATTTTTACTGCTATTTTTCTGTAACTCTTATAAAAACAGCCCGGTGATGCCATTATTACTCTCTTATTCACACTCAGATTCTTTAACATTATAAAGTCAACACACCTTAATACTGAGAAAGAACGTTTTAACCCATGAAATAAGTTGAAAACGTTCGTTTAGCTGAAGGCTAAACAAACGTTTTCAACCCATTTCATGGGCCATCATCAGGTTTTTTCTACTTTGCAATCTTTGTATAGACCTTATCCTTTGAATTTCTGAAAATTTCTACTAAAGTTTAATCTTAGTTGCATTTTGACTTCCTGTATTCCTGGAAATGGTCGAATAGCACTTTCTATTTCGGCTACTACTTCGATTGATATCGAAAAGATGAATAAATTCATATTGTATCCATACGATTATAAATTTATTTAGACATTGCTCTTTTTCTGTATTTGACGGATAATCGTGGACCAGAATGAATGCTCCCGCATCTACAGGAAGGGTCTACGTTGAAATCGCTCGGCAATTCTGACCTTTTCTGTCATCACGATTGATTGCTAATAAATGGTGAATGTTCAAGCAGTTTTATGACAGGCCGACGTTAAATTATCTAAACGATGATTCAATTGCAATTGTTTAGTTTACGGAATTTCAAAAGAAGTTATGACATGTTTTGTCTCTTACAAGGAATAAAATTTCCTTCGACTAAGTGATGGCGTCGACGTTAAATTACGAATCGTTTTTCCATTTCGACACCAGCGTATTGGAATCAGAGGTGGGTTGTCCCGATTAACTCTACATGAACTTCTAATGCAAGACAGAAGTC